GCGGAGCGGAACCGCCACCCGTGCCCACAGGGTGAGCAGACCAGTGATCAACCTGCAGATCAGGCCCAGGGGTCCACAGGCGTGGTAGGAGGGGCAGGGCAGATCCACCGCCCGCGCCTTCAAGGTAGGCAGACCTACAACAGACCGGCGGATCAGGCCCAGGAGCCTGCCGGCGTGGTACAAACACCACCCTAATTGGAGTAGTGACAGAGCAGAGTCACCTCCCTTGCCAGGAACAGGCCCAGCGTCCTGCAGGCGGGGTAGTCACGACACCCCAATTGGAGTAGGGGCAGAGCAGAGCCTCCACCCGTGCCCGAAAGGTGGGCAGATCTGCGACCGACCAGCGGGACAGGCCCAGTGGCCTGCCGGTACGACAGACACGTCACCCCATTTGGAGTAGGGGCAGAGTAGAGCCGCCGCCCGCGCCTGCAGGGTAGGCAAACCTGCAACCAACCGGCGGATCAGGCCCGGTGGCCTGCCGGCGTGGTACACTCGTCACCCCAATTGGAGTAGGGGCAGAACAGAGCTGCCGCCAGCTCCCAGAACAGGCCCAGTGACCTGCCGGCGTGGTAGCCACGACACCCCAATTGGAATAAGGAGAGAGCAGAGCCGCCGCCCGCACCTGCAGGAAAGATACCCAAGCAGTATGAAAAGACAAGGAAAGAAAGGACCACAAGCAATGCAGGTCAACGCAACTTTAGAAGAGGTAACAGCTGCAGCAGATGGAATGTCAGATAAAGAATTCAGGATATACATGCTTCAGATGATCTGGAGTATCAAGGAAGACATTAAACAGCAAAATCACACAATGAAGGATCACTTCGACAACGAATTACGCAAACAAATCCAGGAAGCAAAGGATCAACTATACAGGGAGATAGAGGTTATAAAAAACAAGCAATCAGAAATCCTAGAAATGCAGGAAGCAATAAACCAACTTAAAAACTCAATGGAGAATACTACCAGCAGAGTAGAACACTTAGAAGATAGAACATCAGACAATGAAGACAAAGTATTTCAACTGGAAAAGAACATAGACAGCTCAGCAAGACTGTTAAGAAACCATGAGCAGAACATCCAAGAAATATGGGATAACATTGAGAGACCAAACTTAAGAGTCATTGGGATACAGGAAGGTACAGAGCTCCAAACCAAAGGAATGAGCAGTCTATTCAATGAAATAATACAAGAAAACTTCCCAGACTTGAAGAATGAGACAGAATCCCAAATCCTAGAAGCCTACAGAACGCCGAATGTGCAAAATCATAAGAGATCCACACCTAGACACATTATAATGAAGATGCCCAACATACAGAATAAGGAGAGAATTTTAAAAGCTACAAGAGAAAGGAAGCAGATTACATTTAGGGGTAAGCCAATCAGGATAACAGCTGATCTTTCAACACAGACTCTGAAAGCTAGAAGATCCTGGAATAACATATTTCAAACACTGAAAGATAATGGGTTCCAACCAAGAATTGTGTATCCAGCGAAATTAAGCTTCAGGATGGAGGATGAAATTAAAACCTTCCACGATAAACAAAAGTTTAAAGAATTCGCAGCTAGAAAACCATCTCTTCAAAACATCCTCGCCAAAGCATTACAGGAAGAGGAAATGGAAAATAACAATGAAAACCAACAGTGGGAGGTAGGACAGTAAAGGGGGGGGGGAAATAATCAAAGAGGAAAACAAACAATGTTTAGTAACAGAAATAAACAAATATGGCTGGAAGAACAACCCATATCTCAATAATAACCCTAAATGTTAATGGCTTAAACTCACCAATTAAGAGACACAGGCTAGTAGAATGGATCACAAAACAAGACCCAACAATATGCTGCCTACAGGAGACGCATTTGATAGGAAAAGACATACATAGGCTGAAGGTGAAAGGTTGGGAAAACATCATATCACTCATATGGACTTCGGAAACAAGCAGGCGTGTCCATACTCATATCAAATAAAATAGATTTCAAGCCAAAGTTAATCAAAAGAGATAAAGAGGGACACTACATACTGCTTAAGGGAACCATACACCAACAAGACATAACAATCATAAATATTTATGCCCCAAACAATGGTGCAGCTATGTTCGTCAAACAAACTCTTCTCAAGTTCAAGAGTCTAATAGACCACCACACCATAATCATGGGAGACTTCAACACACCTCTCTCGCCACTGGACAGATCTTCCAAACAAAAGTTGAATAAGGAAACTATAGAACTCAATAACACCATTAATAACCTAGACCCAATTGACATATATAGAGTATACCACCCAACATCAAGCAGTTACACTTTTTTCTCAGCAGCACATGGATCCTTCTCAAAAATAGATCATATATTATGTCACAGGGCAACTCTTAGACAATATAAAGGAGTAGAGATAATACCATGCATCTTATCTGATCATAATGGAATGAAACTGAAAATCAACGATAAAAGAAGGAAGGAAAAAGCATACATCAACTGGAGAATGAACAATAGGTTACTGAATGATCAATGGGTTATAGAAGACATCAAGGAGGAAATTAAAAAATTCTTAGAGATAAATGAAAACACAGACACAACATATCGGAATCTATGGGACACATTGAAAGCAGTTCTAAGAGGAAAATTCATTGCTTGGAGTTCATTCCTTAAAAAAAGAAAAAACCAACAGATAAATGATCTCATACTTCATCTCAAAATCCTAGAAAAAGAAGAGCAAAACAACAGCAAAAGAAGTAGAAGGCAAGAAATAATTAAAATCAGAGCTGAAATTAATGAAATCGAAACAAAAGAAACAATTGAAAAAATTGACAAAACTAAAAGTTGGTTCTTTGAAAAAATAAACAAAATCGACAGACCCTTAGCCATGCTAGCGAAGAGAAGAAGAGAGAGAACTCAAATTACTAGCAATAGTAACAAAAACAGCATGGTACTGGTACCAAAACAGGCGGGTGGACCAATGGTACAGAATAGAGGACACAGAAACCAATCCACAAAACTACAACTATCTTATATTTGATAAAGGGGCTAAAAGCATGCAATGGAGGAAGGATAGCATCTTCAACAAATGGTGCTGGGAAAACTGGAAATCCATATGCAACAAAATGAAACTGAATCCCTTTCTCTCGCCATGCACAAAAGTGAATTCAAAATGGATCAAGGAGCTTGATATCAAATCAGAGACGCGCCGTCTGATAGAAGAAAAAGTTGGCTACGATCTACAGTCGGTGGGGTCGGGCTCCAAATTCCTCAATAAGACACCCATAGCACAAAAGTTAATAACTAGAATCAACAAATGGGACTTACTCAAACTAAAAAGTTTTTTCTCAGCAAAAGGAACAATAAGAGAGGTAAATAGGGAGCCTACACCCTGGGAACAAATCTTTACTCCTCACACTTCAGATAGAGCCCTAATATCCAGAGTATACAAAGAACTCAAAAAATTAGACAATAAGAGAACAAACAACCCAATCAACAAATGGGCCAAGGACCTGAACAGACACTTCTCAGGGGAGGACATACAGTCAATCAACAAGTACATGAAAAAATGCTCACCATCTCTAGCTGTCAGAGAAATGCAAATCCAAACCACCCTAAGATACCATCTCACTCCAGTAAGATTGGCAGCCATTAGGAAGTCAAACAACAACAAGTGCTGGCGAGGATGTGGGGAAAAGGGTACACTTGTACATTGCTGGTGGGACTGCAGATTGGTGCAGCCAATTTGGAAAGCAGTATGGAGATTTCTTGGAAAGCTGGGAATGGAGCCACCATTTGACCCAGCTATTCCCCTTCTTGGTCTATTCCCTAAAGACCTAAAAAGAGCATGCTACAGGGACACTGCTACATCGATGTTCATAGCAGCACAGTTCACAATAGCAAGACTGTGGAACCAACCTAGATGCCCTTCAATAGACGAATGGATAAAAAAAATGTGGCATTTATACACAATGGAGTATTACTCTGCATTAAAAAATGACAAAATCATAGAATTTACAGGGAAATGGATGGCATTAGAGCAGATTATGCTAAGTGAAGCTAGCCAATCCCTAAAAAACAAATGCCAAATGTCTTCTTTGATATAAGGAAAGTAACTAATAACAGAGTAGGGACGAAGAACAGGAGAAGAAGATTAACATTTAATAGGGATGAGAGGTGGGAGGGAAAGGGAGAGAGAAGGGAAATTGCACGGTAATGGAAGGAGACCCTCAGGGTTATACAGTGGAGGGGGTAGAGAGAGAGGAGGGGAGGGGAGGGGAGAGGTGGGGAGGGGGGAGGGTGGAGGATGGGAAAGGCAGCGGAGCACAACAGACACTAGTATGGCAATTTGTAAATCAATGGATGTGTAACTGATGTGAATCTGCAATCTGTGTATGGGGTGAAGGTGGGAGTTCATAACCCACTTGAATCAAAGTGTGGAATATGATATGTCAAGAAATTTGTAATGTTTTGAACAACCCACAATAAAAAATTAAAAAAAAAAAAAAAGAAAAGGGATGGCCTTATGACACTCTGGCTAACAGAATGCAGAGAAATTAGAGTGACAAGTCTAGGCATCAAAAGGCTTGTGCCTTCCAGCTCTCCCTCTTGGAATCCACTCCTGAGTCACCAAGTGAACAAGCCTGGGCCAGTCTACTAGCAGATGAGACCACACAGATCCAAGCTGAGATAGCCCAGTAGTCCTAGGCCAGACCCCAGACATGTGAGAGCCAAGCCAAGATCAGACAACCGACTTGCAGCTGGCCACACACATGGCAGCTCTCAACTAAGCCCAGAACTGCCTGGTCAACCCAGGGATCAGAAGGAAAAAAAAAAAAAGGCTATTATTCTAAACTAAGAATAAGTTTTGATGTGGTCTGTTACATAGCAAAGCCAACTGACACAATGCCCTTTGAGAAAACCTGGCTTTAGCCTAAATACCCTCTAGGTAGAGTTTAGCTTCTTTTTCAGTCTTGGGAAGTCACACCTCCTTTTGGGGAAATATGTGCTTCACTGAAGTCTTTACATACCATCACTCTTTCCATCCTGTTGAGGGTATGAGTTGTAGAACATTCCCTTCCCATCGTGGGTCCAGGCCATACAGCTGAACTTGACTCTTTCAAGCACATCAGGAAGTTCTTTGGCACCATCGACTTTCATGAACTTGATCGTTACCCAGTCTGAGCCACTGGCACTCAGACCATAGGCAAAATATTCACCATCTTCACTGAAGGCATAACCTATGGGACACAGAACCAATCAGATGGTGAAATGGGACACAACTCCTAGCCTTGCGTGCTATCCTCCATGCTGACCGACAAAGCTGTTGGCCATTAACACAGAAGCAGAAAATGGCAGCAGAATAATCAGGAAGGCTAATAGTGAGCAACCCTAGGGTTCAACCCAGGTCTTACAGGAATCACCCTTATGACCCTGGACAAGGTCCCTAACCTCTCTAGGTCTTAGTTTCTTCACTGGTAAAAGGAAGCATAGGATTATATGCCCAGGAAGTTGCTTCCATTTTGAAATTTTTATAATTTGATAGGCAGTTCAGTTCAAAGCAGAGCTCATCTGAGACTTCTAGCATATTTTATTCATATGCTAAAGAGAATAAGGGGAAAAGAAAACTGCTTTTAGAGTAATGACTGAATTATGACACAAACCACATAATAGAATTAAATTGTAGCTATTAAGTCATTTTGGGGACAGACTCCAGACTATCTGAAATCCCTCTTTACAACCTCATTTTCAGAGCATTACTTGCACCCAAGGATTGTTGGCCACACTATCTGACATCATAGGCCCAGGTAAGTAGAGCTTCAGGGTTTGCAATAAATGCTCATTACATACACATTTCAAAAGTGACCAAAAAGCAACACAGTTGTGTCACGTCCAGTCTTTAGGACTCTGAAGACAGAATATTCTTACCATTGTGGAATGTTTCTGAACAAATATTTACATGTTTTATGTCATCTTTTACAATTATGAGGTATGTACAGCATTTGATACCACATCTACTATTAGAGACTCCAACTCCAGAGATTTCCTCTTAGGAAGTTTGCTAAATTTTACTGGGGATTGAAAACTGTAATAAGCTCAACTATTACCAGAGGTTTTCTACTCTTCTGCACAGAATTTTAATAGGAGATTAGTTTAAAATTTCATGAAACCTACTTATTAATACTTGTGAGTCCTATATAGCATCTACAATATATATGTAAATGCAAAATAAGAGTCTGAAAGGTAATGAGGGAGAAGAAAGATATTCGCCTTTCATTGTACAGAACAGAACACTGTAGTGTTTGGATTATTTCTACATAATTAGAAAATGTTCAGGAAAAATTTTTAAAACACATTTTGATTTAAAATACATGTCTAAAAAAAATCATATACTAAAAAAAAGGCTTGACATGTTTATTCATAGTGTCACTTCCCTATAATACCACTCTGAGAAAACTCATCAACTGAGGCCAGGTCTTGTTCCTAATTCACCTTCTCACCCATCAGGGCCTTGTATGTGGCAAATATTCCATAAAGAAGCCACTGGAATGCATCAACAGGACAAGAGGCAAGCCTCTGTTATAACAATGAAGTCCTTACTCATCATATATAGATTGTAAGATATATCTTGGTGGAAACTAAGCAATTCCTATACAAAGTACATTATGGCAACAGAACCAGTGTACTGAATTCATTAATACTACAGACTTAGATTTATGGAACATTTTTTTTTATCAAGGTGCTGGTGTCTTTCAATACTGATTCAATAAAGATCCATTTTTACATACTCAAGACTATTCTGGGGAAGGAACACAGCACTACGGAGCAACCCTGTCACTGTTCTCAATTCTAGAGAGCCAAACTTGTAACTCTGCTTTATCCACAGAACAGATGGAACTCTAAGGGAAATTCTGAGCCAACTTAGACACCTGTATTGTTAGAGGACAGGGCATCCAGCAATCCAATTTCTACAAGGCTGTTTGTACTTTTTTTTTTTTACTTTTAATTCTAACATACTGGAAGTTAACTAGGCTTTAAATCTCTGATTATTCTCCCCCAAGGAAACCGATTTGGTAATATTCTTTTCTGGTTTCCTTTTATAGTTGGAACATTCTTTATACAGCTTAAATTTCTTATAAAAGAGGATGTAAGTTTCTCTAATCACAGATAGGCCTGAGGGATGTTATAGGAAATAATATTGATACTTCAAGATCCCAGAAGCTAATTTGGGTCCAGTGGGAATTATTATTCTCCAGTTCTGCTACATGCCACCAGAGTGAGAAAGATGAATGTGACTATTCATGTGTTCTAAATATATTGTTCAAAAGTTAGCATTCCTAATATTGTGTGTGCATCTGCTCTACAATATGGTTCAGACCCTGCCTGGCATTTCAGAGGTGAAGGCACTGCACTAACTTCAGATCTGTGAGTAAAACTTAGGCCCTCCTGAAGGTCTGGTGTACCACTCACCTCGGAGAGCCACTGTGCCATCGTCAGACAGTATGTTGGGGTCAAGAAACACTCTGGCCTCACCCCCTAAAGAATCTTGCACGTATAATACTCGTTGGTTCTGCAAACCTGTATTATAAAAATAAAAATACCTAGGGACAGAGACGGTCTTTATTTAGTTTAACTCCATACAATAAAAATGCCCCAGCTAAACACATAAGCAAAAAAGTAAAACTTCAAACAAAATCCCAAACATAGAAAGGTACAACTTCAATTGGCCTTGACAGGGACATGAAGGCCCCAAGTGTGAAAAGGCCTACCAATTCCCTATACCTAGAACTTATGACTTGAACTGCATTCTGTATGCAAATAATTTATTGTAATTCTGCACATTAGCTATATAGAGACAAACACTGATTTGCTAAAATTAAAACTGATATTCAAAATAAAACGGTAACTTTTTCTTTTAATTGAAGAAGCAAGCAGATTTTCTAAAATAAAATTCTAGTTTGCTTCCCTGGCTAGCCTGCTAAGGTATGGGGCCAGTGCACTTGTTTGATAAAGGGCAAAACTGCGTATATTTCAGGCTTTGTGGGACATACATATTATGAAAGCAGCTGTGGCCAATATATAAATAAATGGGCATGGCTGTGTTCCAATTAGACTTTATCATAAAAACAGGTGGCAGGCAGGGTCTGGCATGCAGGCTCTACTTTAGAGATCTCTGTGCAAGTGGGGGAAGGGCCTAAGAAATCCTAAAGCAAATATGTAATGGTGGCTTCAAAGAGATTTAAAAAAAGAACAAGAGAATACATTTAAGTAGGTGTTAAAAGAGAGGAACAAGAGGGCTGAACTCACAGACTCCACTTCCTGACCCATTTCATCATTCTTGGAAAGATAAATGCAAATAATAAAATGTTCTCAAGTAGCAGTATAAGCCAAAGATAATTAATTTTAAAGGCAAACACATCTCTATTGCTGTTTATAAATCATCCTATCTTATCAACTACTAGCCACGGGACAACAATGATTTCCTATAATCTAGTTCTTTATAGGACATATCTCTTCTAAACTTTAAACTTCTTAACCATTACTTTACAAATTTGGATCAAACCTAAAAGAATAAAAATATATTATTCATATATTCAAGCACAGAAATTAATTCCCATTATAATCAAATTATTTGTATAAACTGATAAGCTGTTTAGAACTTGTATTTTAAAATTTAAGAAAGCATTCAACTGAAAAATAGAAAATGAAATGAAAGCAATCCCACATACCGCTTTCCTTTCTTGAAGTGGCAACTATACTTGGGATAGTCGTACAGTTCAGTCATTCTCTCTTTGTATAAACCTCTGATGGGACACTGCTCGAGAAAGGGCACAGTGATCTTGTTCTGGGCCTCCACGAAGGCCTGTGGAGAAACCAAAATGGACAAATCTGATAACATTTAAGATTTCCCATGTGGAACGTTATCCATTAATATGTACCAGCAAAATCATGTCTTTCGCTTAATAAAAACTCTTAAATGGAACTAACCCAACTAATGCTTACAGAGCAAATCTTAACTCATTTAAAACCACAAAAATCCTATAGAGAAGATTCTTTTATGAGGCCAACTTTACAGAAAAGAAAACTGAGGCTCCAAGTGTTCAAAAACTGCCTAACATTAAACAGGCAGGGAGTAGCAGAACTAGCTCCTCAACCTATGCTCTCCACAAACATACTCTGCTTGAAAGTGATCTGTTTACAGTGCCAAAGTTCTTGTTCAGCAGGTGCCGCTCCCAGAAGAAATCAAAGAGAAAATGAGATATCCAGACACTACTGCACTGATTTTGTTTTTGACTTACTATTTATTCACGACCTACCACCATATCAACTCCAGAGAACTTTGTTAAAATTTGCAACTAAAGAATATTTTTTAAGAAATGGAAATTGGCATTGAATAAGAATATGGACAATGGTTTATAAGAAGGGTAAGAGATGGTCTGAAGCATTCAGGAGATTTTGGCAGCAAAGGCAGGGAAAGGGGCTGTTTAAAAAAGATCAGTTGTATCCAAGCACACCCTATTTATAACTAAGCAGTTAGAATATTTATGGTACTATAAAAACTTGGCCACACAATAATTCATGTATGGCTGTTGGTAAGAAATAAGAATAACTGTGTCAGCTCTAAATTCAACAGAAAGTTTCATCAGACATCTATACATAAGTAAATCATTAGGGAAAAACTTCAGGAAACAATTAAGAATGTATTTATATGGCACAGATTTATTATTACCAGTCCACTTCTGGACACATTATCAAGCTTTCAGGGTCCATCTGAACTCTTTTAAGTGCTTTGGGTTCCCCTACCCAAACCACCAACCCTGAGCTGAAGAATCATTTTGTGCTGAGAAGCTATTCTAAATTTCATTAATGTTCACAATGCATTTGAAAAAAGAAAGAATGTAAAGCACGAATATAGTGATTAACAACAATTTTGCAAGAGGACCAATTCAAGAAAAATAAAATTGTTATGGGTTACAATTTTTATCACGCAGAAAATAAAATTTGTTGAGTTCTACAGAATATATTCTCACCTGTCTATTGTGAAGACTTGACAAACTGCCTTGGCCTATTTTCCTAAGGCCCTTGAACTAAAAAAGATTTTTAAGATATTTTTAAAGAACAGGGGGCAGAGGGACCAACAGAGACCCACTGTTACCTTGTGGATTACAATGCCTAAAATATTTACTATGTGGCCCTTATATAAAGAGTTTGCTGACCCCACTACATCTCACTAAAAAGAGTGTGAAGGAAGAAAATAGCTTTTGCTTTTAGTTACAAAACTGATGCATATCTGAGAAGCCACACAGTGGCAGTAGCAGTTTGAAGATCACGAAGTGTGTCCAAGAGCATGACCTCATTTTACGGTGGAAGGAAATATCATGCCTACTTCACAAACAGGGAGATGGAAGCATGTGGTGTAAAAGACCCTGGTCAAGGTCAAGCAGTGAGTTAGCAACATCTTTGAGGCTGGAATTGCTATATATCAGTCACAATAACAGAGACTGATGTTGAATGTGAGGATGAAGCAGATCCACTGGGAGAAGAAAGGGGCAGCCTGGGTCTCCTGTGATTTCCTCCTACTTGGGCTAGGCTAGGCTAGGCTGGGCTGGGCAGGGCAGGACAAGCAGATCAGGGAGCTGGGGAATCCATGTGGACTTAACTAAAACCTAGCATGCATGAAGAAACTAAGGATAGAAGGAACTTATCTTATCATAAAGGTCATATATGACAAACTCAAAGTTAACATCATAGTGAATGGAGAAAACCTGAAAGTATTTCCTTTAAAATATGGAACAAGATAAAAACGTCCACTCTCACCACTCCTATTCAATATAGTATTAGATATTCTAGACAGAGCAATTAGGCAAGAGAAGAAAATAAAAGGTCTAAAAACAGGAAAGAAAGAAGTCCAATCATCACTATTTGCAGATGATATGATCCTATACTTAGAAGATTCAAAAAGTTCCACCTGAAGACTGCTAGAGCTAAGAAAAAAACTCAGCAAAGTAGCCGGTTACAAAATCAACATACAAAAATCAATAGCTTCTTTATATACAAATAATGAACCTGCTCAGAAAGAAATCAGGGAAAATAATCCCATTCACAATAGCCTCAAAAAACAAACAAATAAAACCTAGGAATAAATCTAACCAAGAAGGTGAAAGACATCTACACTGAAAACCAAAGAACACTGAAGAAAGAAATTGGAAAACAAGAAAGATGGAAAGTTCTCCCATGTTCATAGATAGAAAGAATGAATATGGTTAAAATTGTTAAAATGGCCATATTACCAAAAGCAATATATAATTCAATCAATTCCCATCAAAATACCAATTACATGCTTCAAAAAATTAGAAAAAAAACGGTCCTAAAATTCATTTGGAAAAACAAAAGACCAGAATAGCCAAAGCAACTCAAAGCCAAAAAAGCAACAATGGAGGCATCACAAAACCCGGCTTCAAGTTATACTACAGAGCTATAGTAACAAAACCTTCATGGTACTAGCACAAAAACAGGCACATAGACCAATGGTACAGAATAGAAGACAATGGGACAAACCCGCATATCTACAGTTGGTGGATCCTAAACAAAGGCACCTAAAACATACATTGTAGAAAAGACAGCCTCTGTAACACATGGTGCTGGGAAAACTGGTTATCAATGTGTAGAAGAATGAGACTAGGCCCTTATCTTTCACCCTGCACAAAAGTCAACTCAAAATGGAGCAAAGACCTAGGACTTAAACCAGAAACTGCAACTTCTAGAAGAAAATGTTGGATCAACATTCAAACATAAAGGCAGGGGCTATTACTTCCTCAATAGGTTTCCAAAAGCTCAGAAAATAATACTGAGCTTCAATAGATGGGATAGCATATAATTAAAAATTTTATTCACAGCAAAGGAAAACAATTAAGAATGTGAAAAGAAAACCTACAGAATGGGAGGAAAATCTTTGCTAGCTACTCTTCTGACAGAAGATTATACAAAGAACTCAAAAACTCACCATCAAAAAGACAAAAAATCCAGTAAATGGGCAAATGAACTAAATATATGCTTCTCAAAAGAAATATAAATGGCCAATAAAAATATGAAAAAAAATGTTCAACACCTTTAGCAATTAGGGAAAAGCAAATCAAAACTATACCAATATTTCACCTCACTCCATTTAGAATGGCAGCCATGAAGAATACAAACAATAAATGCTAGAGAAGAGGTGGGGGATGGGGGAAAGGAACACACTGTTGGTGGGGCTGTAAATTATTATAACCACTGTGGAGATCGTCTGGAGGTTCCTCAAAAGACTAGGCATGGAACCACCATATGACTCAGCTCTATCACTCCTTGGTATTTATCCTAAAGAATTAAAGTCACCATACTACAGTGATACATGCATACCCATGTTTACAGCAGCACAATTCACAATAGCAAAATTGTGAAACCAGCCTTGGTATCTATCAATGGAGGAATGAATAAAGAAAATATGATACACACACACACACACACACACATACACAGTGGAGTTTTATCTGGTCATATAGAAGAATGAAATTATGTTATTTGTAGGAAAATAGATGGAATTTGAGAAAGTCAAGGGCCATATATTTTCTCTCATATGTAAAAGCTAGAGAAAAAAAAGGAAAAGAAAGATTGGGGGGTGTGCCTCATGAAAATCAAAAGGAGATTAGTAGAAGAAGAGGGGTGGGAAGAAAGGAGGACAGGCAAAGGAGAAATACTTGAAACAAAAATGATCAAATTATACTGTTATATCATGTGCATACATGAATATGGAATAATGAGTCCCACTTTTTTATGATTATAATGCACCAATAAAAAATTTTAAAAAGACCTTGGTGTGTAGTGCTGATCTTGGCATTGTGGAGGGAGGTTGGTGATGAATCCAAGGCAAGATCTTTGCCATGAGAGCTCGCATTCTACTGGGAGAGTAAACCCAAGCCATAGGATTGCAGAGGGTGGCTGATTCTGAGAATATACGCAGGGGAATCAGTGGGGCAACACTGCCACTCACAGCATCATGTGTAGCCCAGCGCTGGTCCCTCAACTGTCGGCTACCAGCCTGCTCATGATGAGATGAGTACAGATTCCAGGGTGAGTACTGAGAACCTTTGTAGCAATGTGACATTGTTGCAGCACTTTGTTATATTTTACAACCTCAATCCACAATGGTTTAGAAACTGACAAACCAATCTTTTGTGCAGATCTTGGCGGGCACTTACTTAAACAGGTGGGCAGACAAGCCCTTCTGTGGGTTCTAGAATTGAGGTCTGAGAACTAAGATTGAGTAGCAATGCAAGGTGGGACAGAGTGCCCCAGAAAGGTGAAACCACAGGTGTAGGGTCCCTGGCAGGGGGAGGAGGTTGGCAAGTATGAAAAGTGAGATCAGGGGCACGGAGGGAGGGAGACAGGAGGCGCTGGCTGAGGGTGGAGGATGCTGCACCTTATAGCCAGATAAGAAGCTTCCATCTTTGACAAAAGTGCAAAAAAGCCATGGCTAGTTAAGGAGACTTTTAGGAAAACCATGTTTATCTTTTTAAAAGATTAGCTTGCATTGGATGAAGAAGAGACTGGGGCTGGGGAACAAAAAGTGGAAACAGGAAGGCCAATTATGAGACTGGGACAGTCCAGGTGAGAGGCCAAGTAGAACAGTTGGCCTCTTGAAGGAGCAGGAACAACTATTGTAATAGGAATGGACACAGAAAATGTGCACAGTGCACATCAGTTTGCAGTTTTGATGTCTACTTTCTAGAAAGGCTTTCCAGAACGTTCTAAGTAGTCTGAACGCTAAGTAGGTTCCCACACTGAGACCCCACCAGGCTGATGGTCTTGACTGGTCTCACCTTTTCC